TGTTGTGCCCAAAAAAATCTACAGGAAAAAACGATAGTAAGATGATAACATTGTGTGACATTTAGCACTGATGACCCATCTTGAGCAAAACACAGTATCACTAGCACTTTCTCCTTACTACAGATTCCCAGACCCAATTCCAAAGTGACTTGTATCTTCTTCCTTATCTGTACGCTGTTTTATCCAATGGCAAAAGCTTAGAAAACTTATATAAATAAAGCATTATGACCTCTTAAATATAAAACGAAAGAAGAACTGCTGTCAAAACTTTGACTTATATATATAAAAAGCAATTTAAGAAATTAACCTATTAATTACTTTTTCAAGGACCATTATTCAAAACTCCTTAAGAAAAAAGAATTTTCCCCATGACCAACTTCATACAATCACAAACACAGTACTGTTTTATTGTTAATACTTAAATATGTGTTTAGTAAGTCTGGTGACTTATTTACATATTTTATTTAAGGATCCCTCCAAGATTTCAACTGAAATGGAGAAAAAAAAAAAAGCATCATAAAAGTGATCCAGGCCCACACTGAATGCACAGTTTGCAAGGGCCACCAACTGAGCAGAAAGTGAGATATTTGTGTACTTAGAAATACCACAGACTGCTGAAGGTCACCGGCCATATGAGTTATGGCTATGTGAAGACCACCATCCATTTGTGCCTCTGACTTACCTTTAACTCACAAAATGTAGGCATGCCCTGGTAAATTTCTGCTTGCTTTTTCTACTTGTTTAGACAACTTTCAACACCATTAAAAAAATATTAAATTAAGTGGGAAAACTGCATATATACCACCCTTATAACATCACATTTTTTAATTCATTCAACCAATGTGACTGAACACATTTTGTTTTTTATGTGTATTTGTTTTATATAATTATAATTAAAGAATAAATAAAATGTTTTGCTCATTTTCACTTCACATTACTTTGAGCATTACATTTTCTGCACAGCTGTATTTTTTATTTGATCATAAATTCAGTGGAGATTAAATAGTCCATTTCATTATAAGATATAATTTGCTTAACGGTTTCCCTTTTATGTTCATTTAAATTGCTCTTAGGTTTTTGCTAATGTAAGAAATATAGCAGTATGCATAAAGATACTGGCTCATAAAAGTCATTTTTTGAATAATTAATTTAGAAAAAATCTTTAGAAAAGATACCAAAGGATTAAAAGTCATGCACATTTTCATGGCTCCCTATCAAATTATTTCCTAAGGACCAGTAGTCATTTGCAGAGCCACCAACAAAGTATGAATATATACATTTCCCTGGTAAATCCCTGAATTTGGATTTTAATATGAACTCCTGAAATTTCCCAAATAACTCTTCACTGTCTCAGTTAATCATTTTTAATTCCTGGCAAATTTGAATGCCTTCCCAAATATTTATTTTCCAAATTTCTCTTTAAGTGAAAATTGCCCATGCCTTTCTTCCATGTATCTGTTGGAATATTGTATTTGTTATCCTCCAATTTCTTCCTATTATGATTACAGTAAACCCTTAAAATGAAGAGAGCTTTTCATTGGAGCAACTATATCCCCCTTCACAGCAAAGGAAGAAGAGGCTGAAGGGCAGGTGAAGAACCTCTAGAGGCCGAGTGAATGGCGGTCTCACAAAAACAGAAAAGTTGATGTGCCTCTTAGACCTGTGGCAAGCAAGGATAATAATATTATCCACCTCCTGGGGTTGGGATGACTAGCAAACTAGTTAACATATGCGAACAACGTGTAGAACAGAGCTTGGCACATAACTGGGTCTCCATAAAGTCAGCTGGAGTTATGTAGAAGTAATTATGAGGACTTCAGGGAAGAAATGCCTTCCCCCACCACTCCAGTGTAACTAAAATTAATTTGTACTCACCCTTGAAGCTGACCCAGAGGAATTGTGACTTCTTAAGCTAGAGGGAAAGAAAGCAGTATCAAGTTGCATGTATCAATACGGCCCTTTCTGTAGTAGGCACCAAGAGTCATTAGCTCATTTATTTTCTATGACCTTATCTCCCCAGAACATCTCATTTTATCTGATCTCTGAAGCTTAGCAGGATCAGTCCTGACTGGCCTTGGATGGGGACTCAGACTTACAAGAAGGCTATACGGGTTTGTGGTTAAGTGCAGCTGTGTGGCAATCAGTAACTTGCTAAACATCCCTGCCTCAATTTCTTGATCTGAAAAAGAGTTAATAATGGTCCCCACTTCATGCGGCTCTTGTTAGGAGTAAGTGAAACAATAAATATGCCTCACCTACCATCTACAACCATTAAGGGTTAGCTACTATTTTCAGTATCATCATTCTTATAATTCCAAGAGTTGTGAATCATTACTTCATATTTTTAGAAGGCAGAATAGGCTCAGAAAAGTTAGATAAATTAAGTCACACAACCATCAGGAAGATAAAACTCTGTATTTTATCCCCAAGCTCATTTTAGTATCCAGTTTTTGCATTTTTTGTATTTTTCTTTTCTTTACTTGACATTTCCGTAAAAGAAGACTTGCAGGAAGACATGAGAGCTGTTTGCAGATATTTTAAGGGTAAGCTCACAGATGGGTACGACTAGACTCCCCTTGTTGCCTTCAAAAACAGATCTGAATCCCAAGAGTAGACGCTGCAGAGAAGCTCTTTGGGGCTTACTATAGGGAGAAACATCTTACCAAAAGGAAAGAAATTCAAAAGCATAGTGGTCTCTTTAAAGGGCTAGTTAATTCTACTACTGTCTTAATCTCTTAGGCTCTGTCAGTATGTAGACAAGTGAGATGTCAGCTTGCTGAGGATACTGCAGAAGAGATTCCTGTAAATGTCTCCAGGGCAACCTGATATCCTGTCCTGAGCAGTATTTAGGGGACCAACATTCTACCACACAAATATACCCTCTTTCTTTTGTTAGAAAGGGAGTTGAACTTCTTGGCCATTATCTAGGACCAAGAATGAGTGAGGCTTCCCTGGCATCTTCAGGAAGAGGTAAGCCTTTCTCCTTTGCTCACTTGGGATTATTTTTGCACATCACTTCTCAGATGACTGAGTTACTGTATCCAAATGTCTAAGGATCTTCTAGGTCTTTATGGCTCTAGTCTTCATCAGCACAGCTTCAGGACCCTTCCTGTCAGCTACCCTAGCTCTGACTCTTACACCAGGGAACCCTCGGGGAAGGAATCCTCAGCTCTCAGCACCCACCTACTGCTACACTTTGCTCTCTCAGCTCCTTCCAACCGTCTCACGGCAGACTTCTGCAGCAGGTGCAGAAGACACTACCAGGTCCGGCAGAGCTGTTTTCAAGGCATGACCATCCCAAGCCCTCAGGAAGCTACGCCATGTTCTGGGGCCAAATGGGGGCAGGAAGAGAATAACCCACAGCACAGTTCTGTGTTAATCTTTGTCATGGGTATCCCAAAGTAACAGTGCTTGAGCCTAGTTTCTCACAAAGCTATTACATTAATGTGGCATTTTATTGTTCACAAAATGTTTCCAGGTATTTTATTTCTTATTCCTCTGAACCCACACAAATATTACTGTAGATAAAGTACTTCTCAATTATGATTATGTCAGACACATGTGAGAGAAAACTCAACCAACAGTAACTTAATCAAAATAGGACTGTATTTTTATCTCATGTAAATAGGAAGGCTGCAAAGGCAAGGCTGAACTGATGGCTCCATTGCTATCAGGAACCCAGACTCCTTCTCTCTTTCTGCTTCATCATTTACAGTCAGTGGTTTCCATCCTGAAGGTGACCTCATGGTTACCTTCTGTCTCAGAGGAATCCCAGTTATCATAATCTTCCTCCGGGTAAGAGGAAGGAGAAAGGGTATATCTCCTAGCTGAGCTACTTTCATTTAGAGATTTCCCATTGGCCACTCTTATCTGCAAGGAAAGCTAGAAAACATACTTTGAATTTTTTTTCTTAATCCGGACACAAATCTATCCCCATCAGTGTAGGGGTCCTTCATTAAGGAAGTATGGGAAGATGACAAGTGGGTAGGAAAATAGTATCTCCAACCAAGGAAACTGAGGCTAATTGAGATTAAGGGACTTGGCCAAGGTAAAACAACTAGTTTCTTATATAGCTTTGTTGCTGCACAACCTTCAAGGACACAACGGCATCACATTCTCTGTAAGTGGAACCCTCTGCACCTTACAGTGATGGAATGCGTGACTTGTGCCTTCACGTATGGTGACCTGACTCCTCCTTCTGCACCTGGTGAAGTTCTGTGTGTAAGACCTCCCACTGCCACCCCTAGGAATCCTGCCTTCCGTGCTCTACTTAGCGGGAGTCTAGTATTTACTGCTGCATATTTTACTGGAGAAGTTAAGGTCACCGTTCGTTTCATGGAGGCCCTCTTTCTGCCCAGGGGCAGTGAGTCCTCCTCAAGTTTCTGCACACCTGGTGAGGGTCTTCCCTGATTAGGAGTAGAAATGGGAAAAGGTCGCCATCTTCGCCATCTTTTCACTTCTTATACACAGACAGGTCAGTCAGGGAGTTCGCACTACAGGCTTATTTTCACCAATTTGTAGGAAAGAAAGTGTATATTAAACATCAGTTTTTGAGGCCCTCACTTGTTTATGAGAAGCTACTCCACTTTAGGCATTAAAGGGTTTTTGCTAATATTAATAAAGTAGTACTTTGACTTTTATCCAAGTATGATCCTTGAGTTTATGTTCCCCTGTTTAGAACCCTGAAGTACGGGAGGAAATGGTTAATGATACCACTTTATTACAAATAAAGTGACTCTTACACCAGGGAAGTTTGGAGTCATATTTTTTAAATTAACTATTATATTGTATGGCTACATATCATAATAGAACCCTTTAAATAAATAAATGTATTCCTGAAACGGTTGCTATTCTGCTTTTTTCCCCTGAAAGTTGAATGGGGGGAGGGGCAGTACACTGGTTAATTAAAGATTTGGGTTTGGTGGGTTCTATTATTGGAGGTTTCACTGTAACCAGTTATAAATGCAATAAACTGGGATCTTGCTTTCCTGATAATATAGGGCATGAGTATGCTTTCCTAAATACAGAATTCTACTTTCGAAGACGTGATCACTACAGTCTGAAGTCAGAAAATGAGACCAACAGATCATCTTCAGGCCATCCTGGGGTCTGTCAGTAAACTGAAAGTAACTGAACGAAGAGAGGAATCTCCAAGAGAGGCCAGGGGACAGCCACCAGCCCACCACTACAGAGAATTTCAGAGCTAAGCCACTCACAGAAAAAAAAAAAAGTTCAACCACAGGGCGGATGTGCTGCTTTTCACACCCAAGTCATTTATTTGAAAAGCAAAGGCAGTAAATTCTTGAAGCCCTCACTATGTTATGATTACTCCAGGAGAAAAGAGAAGATAAAAGAGAGACACTGAGCTTTCCCTCCCAGTGTCTTCCTTGCTCATTTCTTTCAGGCAGATTCTTTAAACCTTATTTCCTTATTTTGCAACAGGAGCCTATAAAGTTAAGAAAATTATTTTTAGCTTTTAGGAGTATGCATTTAATTGTGTTCACTGTTATTGCTACTGTATAAAACAGGAAGAATTCCTTGGGACATGAGTGCAAGCTCCACATGGTCCAATGGCAAGAGTATTAATTGGCTAACCATACCACTAAGGCGTTAGTTCTAATAGCCTGTTAAATAAATTAGTAATAAGAGATTCTAAAAAGGGGCGCCTGGGTGGCTCAGTGGGTTAAGCCGCTGCCTTCGGCTCAGGTCATGATCTCAGAGTCCTGGGATCGAGCCCCGCATCGGGCTCTCTGCTCAGCAGGGAGCCTGCTTCCTCCTCTCTCTCTGCCTGCCTCTCTGCCTGCTTGTGATCTCTCTCTGTCAAATAAATAAATAAAATCTTAAAAAAAAAAAAAGAGATTCTAAAAAGAATCAGGCTATCCTTCAAAAAGCCAAAGTAGTATAATTAACTAAGGGCCCCAAAAAGCTAATTTTAAGAGAGAGGGGAAAAAAAAAAAAAGAGGAATAGCCAAACATTCCTTGATATGCTGGAGCCATCAGGTTTTTACTGTGCCTCCTACCTTATTGTCTAAGAATTACTATGAAAAATCTTCAAGGTCATCCCAAACCTGCATCTTGTTTAGCAAGAGCAGAAGTCTGCTCAATTATTTACCCAGTTTGGATAAGGCTTAAAACCCACTCAAAATATTTCTGTTGAAAACATACTCGAAAGAGAAGGCACTGGAAAAAGTTGTCCGGACAGGCTCTTCACCTATCAAACTATCACTGGACAGTTTCAGCACCATTCAACTCCTGCTGCAACCACACTGATGGGAATGGAAATTCTATACATTCAGTTAAATGATTTGCATACTGGAGCAGTAAGCAAATACTGGAACAGAGGCCCCAAGCTTAGGTCTCTTGCATTTCCCACAGTCTTCTCTGAACCCGTCTCACTTATTGTCAATACCACACAGCATACTGCTTACTCATGCAGGCCTCTGCTGTTTGGGCCCTCAAGCAGATTGGAAGCACCATACATGATGGAACCATTGTTTTAGCTATCGTGCATCTTCCACAATCCCTTTACAGAAGTGGTCATGCTTGCAAGCATTTATTCATCCATTTATTCAACTAATGTGTACTGGGAGCCTACTGTGTGTCAGAATCCATTCCACACACAGGCTGAGCATATGGACTGTATAAAGTCTCTACTCTTGTAGGGCTTAAATTTGAATGAGATGAGAGAGTAAATAAACAAGGAAAATATCAAAGGTGACAAAAATGATAGAAGTAAAAGAGGGTAATATGAAAGAGGAACCGAGTGTGACTACATTGAACTGGGTGGTCAGAGACATCTCTGAGAAGGTGATAGATGGGGACCTGATGAGCTGGGTTGGCATGTACAAAGGAACGAGCAGAGGCCCTGCATGGCCAAGGCATACTGAGAGAGAAGTGTGATATGAGATGAGGTGGGAGAACAGCAGGGAAGACCTCTCAGTTTGGGGAACACACAGTTTGGCATGTGGATTTTATTCTAAATGCAGGACAGGGTTTTACCCAGGAAAATTACATGATCTGTTTTACTTTTTTTTTTTTTTTTTAAAGAGAACTTATTATTTTTATGTACAGAAAAGACACAACAGCATACACTTAGCTCAGTTTGGTAGCCAGTTCTTTAGTCTTTGTCTCTTTCAACTTGGCAAAACAAGCCATGGACTTTGGACCCAGGACATTGCCCCCCCACCCCCCAGTGATGGCAGATCCCATCTCATCTGTCATTGTAATTGGTCCTGACAGCTTCCACCTGTTTAGCCAGAGCTGCTTTTTTTCCAAGTTAACCTGTGGGAAAGCAACAGTAGTGCAGGTCTTCCTGTGGGCCACACACCCCAGCCTGGCCTTTCCCTTGATAATGCAGTAGGGAACCCCCACCCTATGACACAGGGCAAGCAGGTAGACAACCAGGTCAATGGGATCCACAGCATGTGCAGTCACTACCAGCTGAACCTTCTTGGTTTCCACCAAGGTGGTGACAGTATTAACCCCAGCCCAAAGGGCTGGCAGACTTTTCTGTTGCCAGCAGTTTTCTTCTCAGCCCAGGGCCAACCATCTCTGTGCCTTCTCTTGCTTTGTCCCTCATCTGTATTTGTGGACCAGCTTAAGCAGCTGAGTAGCTATTTGGGATCCAAGGCCTAGGTGAACTGGCTAATCATGGGAGGCACTTGTATTTTATTTCAATTTTTTTACTTAAATTCTAGTTAGTTAACATATATGGTAAAAATGGGTTCAGGTGTTTAATTTAGTGATTCATTCACTCACTTAGTGAACATCACCCAGTGCTCATCATGTCAAGTGTCCTCCTTAATACCCATCACCCATTTAGACATTTATAGAGAATAAGCCCTCTGTCACTGCAGTCGGATATAGCGGGCCATTTGATAAAGTGGGTGAGTTCCCTTTTGAGCTGGATGTCCTGTTTGATGCCAAAATTCTTGGCCTTTTCTCAAACAGGGACTGACCACTTTCTTGGCCTCCTTCTTCTTCACAACAGGGGCCAGGGCTACCTTCTTTCACTTAGCATTCTTTACCTTTGGCATGGCTGGAGAAGAGAGCTGATTTACATTTTTAAAAGACTGCTCTGGCTATTTTGTACAAGGGAAAACAAAAAATGAAAGAGAGAGAGTGGTTAGATTATTACAATAATGGAATAGGACATGGGTATACATGTAATAGTCTATAAGAAAGATTATATTTCTTGGATGAAGGCAGCATTAACAGAGATGGAGAAATATAGATTGAGGAGAAGTTTTAAGGATATCATCAAGCTGATTTTCTGATGAATCAGGCATGGGGGAATGATGAAAGAAGGAAATCAAGGATTACTTAGATTTGTGGCTTAAGCAAATGAATAAATGATGGTGTCTTTACTGATGGATGAGGAACACGTGTAGGAAGTGAAGGTAGAGGGGGAAATCTAGAGTTTTTTTAGTTTGAGATGCTAACTAAAGATATCCAGGATGAAAATTCAACCAAGCAGCTGAATACAGAATTCCTGAGAAAGGTCAAAGTGAAGTTTTATATCTGGGACTCAGCCCAATCATAGTATCTAAAACCATGGGACTGGATGAGATCTCACCTAATGGTTAAATAGAGAAGCAAGAGGGACCTGTGTAAAGACTGAGGCCCCTTCTTGTTTATGCTGATGAGCAGGTTGAACAAGTAAGAGGGCAAGGCAATGAGTTTTCATAACATCTATAATATGAATATCAGATTCCCTTCTCTTTTTAACAGAAAAGGACACTGATTAGTTAGTATTTGTTTGCCATCTTCATCGAGACATAAAAAACTGATCAAAGTCATTTAGTACTGGAAGAATGAAATTGTATATTCACTGGATTTGTTTCATTAAATATATGCATGTTTCTCATAATTCACAAACAGGTCTGTGAATGATCACATTATTATTAAATAGAAAACTGAAATCTGTAATTGTTTTGCTTTAAAAACTAATTCTGTAATTGTCTTGATTTATGAAATACAATATTAAAAAAGTTCACTGGAATCTTAGTGTGGTTCCCTCAAATAAATTCTATTTGTATTAAGTATAAAAAAGTCAAGGAAGACTTGAAAGGGTGGGATAATGGAGTCCTTTCCTATGTGAGAAAGTAAAATGCCTCTTTCTTAAAAGCTTGTTTTCTAATTTCATAATATATTGTGATTATTAAAAATATATATATAAAACTAAAGCCCACCTTGACAACACCCCTCAAACCTCAGGCCTGTCACTAGGAGTCACCATTTGGCCACTTCCGTGTAAATTCCTTGAGTCTCTTCCTTGTTTGTGTGTGTGTTTGCACACATGTGTACATGTATGTGTGAGCATGTATGTGGTAGATGCAGTTGCTGCCCTGCCAAGATCCCCTTTTCTGCTGCTACTGGAGCTAATGGATAGTAACTCAGCTTTCCTTTTCTCTGGAGAATTGCCCTTGGCCAAACAGATGCTGTGACTACTCCCTCTATCCCTTGGGGTGGAGCAAGGCCACATCTGGTCAACAATGGACAGACACAGGGATATAAATGGCCTCAAGGGAGGATTCACTTTAGTGTAATCTGTGCTCCAGAGCACCCCTGCAAAATCAGAAAGCTGGTCTCCACACAGGACCACAGTCACCTTCTCCCTGTGCCCTACCCTGCTTCTCTCACTCGACTTCTCCTGGGAGCACCTTCTCCATAAATTACTTGAAGAAGAAATCATCATCTTGGGCTCTGCTTCTACAAATAAGATAGTGTTATGTCTCTATATCCATTTATGCATATGACAGAAAGTTTTACATAACGTGCTTATCATTAGTTTTCTTAAGCAACAGTTTTAAGAGCTGTTGTATCAATATGCATAGATTTATTCCATTGCTTTTGAACTGTATTATATTACATTGTGAAAAAAAGAGATAACTTTTCAAAAATTTAAAAAATGTTCCAATGTGGTAAATGAATGTTATCATTCTTGGTTACATTTCCTTGATTACCAGAAGTAGAGTCATCTTATATGTTTATCGTCCAACTGTAATTCTTCCTCTATGAATTATTTTCATATTCTTTCAGTTGGATTGTCTTTTCCTTATATGTTATCCTTGGCTCTTTATAAATTCTGAATATTGTTTATTTGTTTAAGGTATGTTGAAAATACTTTTTCCTACTTATTGTTTTTTATGAGGTTTTTTTTTTTGGTGTGGTCTTTTGTATTATTTAGAAGTTTGGTAACGTAGTAAAAAAACTTTATTTTATCCTTAATGCACTTACATATTTAAGAGGATTACTGTACAGAGTCATAAACATATCTTCTAGTATTTTATAATTTTCAGCATTATTTAATTCATCTGGATTTTTTTTTAATGAATGGTATTAGGTGTTGATATAATTTTACTGTATTTTCTAAAATT